GAATTTTATTGTGATCATGGTTGGATATTGACATAAACATGCAAAGAGCATCTGGTGAAATTGGGTACGTGTGTGAGGATGTGAGTGTGGGGTCTCAGCATCGGTGTGGATCGTCTATTCTCTCACACTCACATCCAACTAACAGTTCTGATTCAATATTTCCTGGATCTTTATTCAATCTTTGAGAAATCTAACGCGAAGAGATAGAGATTCTTACTATGAAGCTGTGCTCTCTCAGTCATGTATCTATACAAATTACTTCGGATTATGATGTACTATTGGTGTGCCTGGTTTTGCAGACACATTGTACGGTATTATTGAATGTTGGTAAATGTTTTAATGCTCGGGTCACAGACACTATTGTTAGCGCTGCAACTATCTCAACACATATTGTTTTTAGCCGCATTCTTAAGAAATTAAAATCGTGAAGTTCATTGTTGGCAGGTGTGAAAAGTTGACCCAGAAAATGATTCTGTTGGTGATTGATCAGAAAGGTGTTGAAGATTTTTATAAAGAAGTTACACTACATGGTGACAGGAAGTTTATTTCGCATGTAATTCAGAAGCTGATAGTAGATCCTCGAATATTCCTCGAATGATTAGTGTGAAAGATGAATTTGTATGTATGGAACGAGTGATCAGATGTAGAATCGAGAAATATGGTCTAGAGGGTTTTTGGATGATTCGGAGAATAGGTATAGAAGATTAGGATGTTCAAAAAGAAAGATAGTTTTCTTTCTTTTTCAAAGTGAAGGATAAGAGGAAGCTATATCTAATTTTAGTGATGTTGAATGAGGTTTTCTTGTTTGAAGGTGATGATTGTACCAGAATATTTGGTAGGTTTTTTCGTAATTTTTTTTTATTATTGAGTTAATCGGAAAATAAGCTGATTTATGAATCGTTTGAGGAATTGTCAAGAAGTTTGCTAATTGTAATAAATCTAGTGATATTTTATAGTTTCTGAGAAGCAGAGATAGTATTTGGAGTGAAACGGAAGTTCTGAGCTGATGACATTTTTTAACCGAATTGTGATTGTTATAGCACGGCTCTATCAATGTTAAAGGTTTAGTAGACAAATTTATTTCGCTCTATTTTAACGTGAAGTCAATCGAAGGTAAGTAAGAATTAGGCATGATCGACACGATTAACTGATGTCGTAGTTCTCGCCGAGATATTGAAAAAAACATGAAAGGCTATGAGAATGGGAGTTTTTTTACGAGTTTGAGTATCATTAAATCTTTTTGCTAATAAAGATAAGCTCTTTCACGGGATAGTTTCAGTTTTCTGGTAGCGTTAAATACTGCTAGGAGATATTGATTTCGTCTAATGCTTTTTCGAAGCTTAACACCGATGACTTTGTCATGCACGAAACTGTGTCTAATGCTTTCCAATTAGGAATGTTGCCTCTTTTTTTACAACAAAAAAGCCTCAGTTTTTTCTTATCGATCTTTCAATAGGAATAACACGGTGAGCTAGCTTCTTCGGTATCTTAAACTATGAAGAATCTTCTTACCTTTCGGGACACACACATGGCTCAAAACAAACTCTGTCTCAGGTCCGCCGCTCACGACTGCTTGACAGGCAATGATGGTATCCGCTGTTGGTGTAAACACATAGGCATGCTTATTGGTTGGTACTCGAATCATATTAGTAATCGTGCCCGCTCGCTTAAAGGTGCACTTTATCGACTCGAAGCATGTTGTTGATCCCGGGAGGACAAAATGCCAACCATACGGACAGCCGGCTGGTGGTGTTGGACAAGTGCCACATTCAAACCCTGTACTTGTCGAACCGATGTGAGCCGGCTTAATATAAGCATTATGCTGTCCTAAAATGAAAATATTCTTTAAGTTTTTTTATTGTTAAAAGCTGAGAAGGTCATGAATAAAAGTAACGATATCAAAATGCTTCAGATTTACGTCTCTAATCAAGATCTTCCTAAAACCTAAAATGTAGAACAAACGATGGGCTGAATTTTGTCGAGAAAATTCATCCTGAGAAAGAAAGTAATATTATAACTGCAATCTTCTGTAACAATTGAAATATTTTCAAAAGCATGAGTTGAAGGGGCCACTATTCGAAGCTTTTCTAAGGCGCACCTGTCTGTCTCAGTGTTCTTCTGTTTAGGTGAATTGACCATCAGATATATTAGGGTGCATTTTGTTTGATGTCTCTAATCATGCACACGATTTCTTGTTTCTCTCGAAACTTATACAATATATGCATGCTCTGTTATCACCGCCAGTATAACCTTCATGTGTCACCAAAAATAGTGACATTGTCTCAAGGAAAAAGTTATTTTCTTTCATGTGCACATGCATTGTTCCAACCGAGCCTATTCAATATTGGTCTTACTATCATTTTTCATTCGATTTGGAATTTTGGATGGTTATTTTAGATGAATAAGCCATTGCTATGTGTACACACACTGAATAGGGATCTACAATGACCATCCAAAATTTCAAATCGAACGAAAATTAGTATCAAAGCAAGCATTCGACAACGTTCGATGGCAACAGTGCAAATATGCATGAGAGACAATAGTTGTTTTTTCAAGCAGACTCCATTGTTTTTTGCTGAAACATGTTAAATATACAGGCATTAATAACGAGATATGCATATGTGACACGTTCAAAGAGTGAAACAACCAGTGCTGTGCAACAATAGAAGAATTGAAATATCGTTTACGTTTTATGTCAAATACATGTTAATGAATGTTGAAGTATATAGTAAGAAAAGTAAACCCACTTCTGTCCCATCAACAATGACAGGCATATCGAAAGATCCTTTAAAACGTCATACATATCGATATATATTCTAAAAAATTACATATTCTCCAAAGATCGATTAGGGCTTCTGAGTTTTCAAAAACTTATAAAAAGTCCATTATAGCTATTCACGAAATACAAATCTTGAAAACTTATTAAAGGTTTCCGGTAACACAGAAGCCACGAAAATATTGCATTCACCCTAAAACAGACGTCTATCGAACACGTCAACATATGTGAACACCGCTGAAATGGCAACTGATCTGAGTAAAAATTCGAACTACTTGAGCTGATTTCACTAGCATACATAGTTCTTCAAAATTAATTAAATCAAAACGTATTCATCGGTAAACATGAAGTTTTTCCCCTCCCTCGAATGATCAAAACTTCAGTTTGTAAGTCTTATGGGTTTTTTTGAAAAAAGTCACTGAGAAAGAATGCTTGTAATTTTTGAAGAAACAGTGATAGACATCGACGGTTTTCATTGTTGGATAGAGTATAGCGGGGCACGTAGTACTATGAAATCATCAGACCTTCAGGTAAGATTTACCATGGTAAACCTTTCAATACAAATTCGACGAGATTGTCATTTCCTATATGTAAGACGGATTTTGATTTCCAAATAAGGAAATCAATAGTTTGGATCGAGATCTACGATTCTAGACCGGCCTCTGATCCGTATCTCTTACAGTTCTGGAGTTATAAGTATTCTTCGCAAGGGTATAACCTCTTTACAAGCTTATTCAAGTCCAACAACGTTCCTCAAACTTCGATTTGTCATGGTAAGTCTTGCCTGAAGATCTGATTATTTCATAGGACTACGTACTTCGCTGTGCCCTGTCCAACAATGAAAACTGCCGATGTCTATCACTTTTTCTTCAAAAATTATAAATATTCTCTCCAAGCGACTTTTTTCAAAAAATCGATAATAGATAGATTTACAAGAGTGAGTCATCAGCAATTCAGAGCAAGGGTAGATAATGTCCAACATTATTACGATTTTCGGAATAGAATCAATTTAATATTATTTTTATACTCAATCTTTTATACTGAGTCAGAAAAACCTATTTTCGGAAGCTTTCAAGCAGACCGAAACAAAAGATTCTGTGTAGTTTGCGAGAAATGCATTTTTCTCGAAAAATGACATCCATTAAGTTTTGGGTTTTTTGTTGCTTGAAAGAAGTGTATATTAATGTTAAAACCTAGTTTTCCACGATCAGCAGTTCACGTTTTATCAATCTATTTATGAAAAAGACGAAAAACAAATTCAAATTCAAATTCGAATTACGGACGCCTTACCCAGACACAAAAAAAATCTGATGAAAATAAAGGGTGAAAAGTAGTATAAAAGGATTGTTGTGTCAATACCGTAGTGATTGGAACACAGATATAACTATTCAAAGGGTTGATTTAACTGTTATAAGGTAAAAAAAATTAAGAATGGCTTATGCTGATATACCGACCGATACTTTTCGGTCTGACTGCTTAGAAGAATAACGATAACGGTAACGGTAACGGTAAGGAAAAACTCCTACTAGTTTCAGCTCTGCTATACAGACTAGTAACTTTTGCAGCACTTTATTGATGGTTTTTTTTGAATCAATGTCACTCAAAATCTTCTATATGTTGCCAAAAAAATGAAATACTTTTGGTGCCGAATATTTTATAGTATAATGCAAACTTAATAGAGTGCAAATGGAATATGTCATCTCTCCGTGGAATGCGTTGATATTGCCGAGCTGATAATTGACTATTTATTGCGGGAAGAATTCATTAGCGGGAGAATTCTGAGAAAAAAGACTGCTCTTTCCATGAATAACTATATTTACTCAGTGAACATTTTTATTTCTATCCAAATTTCATTCAAAAAGAGGCGTTTACAAAAACAGTTTCATTATGATCCATGGGGGTTAAAGTTTGTCGAAATGCTAGCGAGTCTAGAATGACATCCCATAATATCTCATCAATAGTTTTTATATGTCACTCGGAGTACTGTCAAGACATATTTACTACGCTGAAATATATGCACATTCCGATTTCTTGACTTACGAAATTCTCAGAAGTTGAGGTATGCAATATTTTTAAATGTCACGCTGAACTCATTGATCAAATTATAGATTTGAATATGATTCCAGAAGAAAATTATAGAGCAATCGATTTCTTTGACTTTAGCTACTAATTTAAGGTTTCAAAACTGAATAGCAAAACTATTAGTGTCAACGCATCCAAAAACTTATGGAACATAAAGCTGTTTACCTGATGTTGTAGCGGCTTTTGTAGTAATGAGTTTTGGTGTCGTGACTTTTGCTGTAGTGGCTTTTGTTGTAATGGCCTTTGTCGTAATGGCTTTTGGTGTAGTGGCTTTTGTCGTAATGGCTTTTGGTGTAGTAGCTTTTGTTGTAATGGCTTTTGGTGTAGTGGCTTTTGCTGTAGTGCGTTTAACTGTAGTGGCTTTTGCTGTAGTGCGTTTAACTGTAGTGCCTTTTACTGTAGTGCCTTTTACTGTAGTGCCTTTTACTGTAGTGCCTTTTACTGTAGT